GGGCTCCTGGGAGGAGGTGAGTGTCCCGGAGCCCCACCTTGGCCTGAGCCCCTCGGCACTCCACCCGCTTCCTCGATGGGCCCCTTACCAGCTTCAGCCTCAGCCTGACATTTCCCGTGACATTTGCTGCGAAGAAATAGAGTCATAAACCCAAAGGTTAAATTTGCACATTGCCTCACACTGCCAGGAGAAGTGCAGTCCCTCCACCCCCCAGGTGCGTGGCTACAGGGTTTGTGCAGGATGGCCCGCCCATTCCCAGCGCCCGAAGGTCCCTTTCCCAGTCCTTCCCAGGTACCTCAGTCACCTTTTCCCAAAACAAGTTTGTGGGCACAGCAGGCCCTGAAGCATGCTGCACAGGGGTCCCACCCTACTGGCAAACCCGAAGCCCTGAGACCCCCTCTGGTACAAGGAGCTCCGTCAGCACCACTTAACCCAGCTGTCCCAAATCTGCTTGACTACGAAACCCTTGTTCGATCCCCACCAACATGCCTTGGAACTTCAATTCCACGCAGCAGGATCTGTGGCAGCCAGGTAGGAAGGCCGGGTGCTGACCGGAGGGCTGAGGGGCATCCCCAGGGCACCAGGTGGGCTGCCTGAACCAAGCCGGGCCAGCTCCTGACACCCTAGCCCCTCTACCCGCGCTCCCCATGTCCCCATCGGCCCAGTTCCGCCTGCCAGGCCCACCTGGTCTCTGCCCAGGCAGTACCTCCCCACCATTCCTCTGGCAGGCCTGCCCGCTGCCCTGCCTTTCAGATACACCTCCGAGACCTGGCTGTCCTTCCTGTGTGTGTGTGTGTGTGTGTGTGTGTGTGTGTGTGTGTGTCTGGTGGGGGCACGAGGTTGTGGGAGGGTGCCTGATGGCTCCTCCTCCATTCTCCCGCAGGAGGGCAGAGCTGCAGGCCCACATGGAGACAGGGCTGTCAGGACAGCTGCAGGGTGAAGGCAGAGGCTACGGGAAGGGGCCAGGAGAGAGGTGGCTGGAAGTGCCAGGGCTGGAATCCTGATCAGCATGGAAGCATATTCCCTCACTCCCAGAGAAAAACGCAGAATCCGCCCTGGAAAGGTTGGGAGGGGTTGGGATCCAGAGAGGGGGTATGTGACCACACCTCCGGGGACCTCATGGGGCCTCCATGTGTGGCGTGTACCTCCCATGCCCAGCCCCACAACCACGGGCAGCATGAGAGGCCAGGGCAGGTTCATAGAAATAATGGCGCATCCTCAGGAAGGGACTCTGCACACACCACTAAACCCATGATGCACAGGAATAGTCCCAATGTGCAAAATGTTTAAAATACAGCGACAAAAGAAGAAACTGCAGCACAAAACACCCGTATGGTGGGACCTGGCAGGCCCACGCACTCCAGGGATGGTGCCGGAAGATGCAGGGGTGTGGACAGCATGCTGTCCTCTGGCTAAGCCTCCATTTGCGGCTCTGTGACCACCTGCCCTTCAAAGAATTTAGTCCAATAAACTCAGGAGGCCCAAGGTCACATCCCTTTAACGGCCTGGCTCCGCGTAGGGTCTGACAGTCCAGGAACGAATGAATGAATGAAAAAAATGAATGCATAACTGAATGAGAGCATGTGTGGGGGATCTGAATGAGCAAACAGTGTCTGGGATTGGGCCGTTCAAAGGTGCAGAAGAAGGCAGGCCACAGGGCAGGGGACACGGAGGGGTGCAGAGGATGCAGAGGCTGGGCCCTGAGAGGTCAGCTGTGGGTGGGGTAGCCAGGCAGCATCCTATGGACCTTGAGGCCCCGGCCCTGGGTGGCCACAGAGGGTCAAGCAGCCATGGGGGTGACGGGGTCCTTGGTCAGGGCCTACCAGGCTGGGGATGGGGCACATGAAAGATACTGACCAGGCACAGTCAAAGGCCTTCAGGATCCCCACAACAGAACCCCACACTCACTGACACACTGGTTCCCTCACACACCATTCACTCATTCAATAAACTCACTCATTCATCACGGAACACCTTCTTGCATTGTGTTCCTGACCCCTTTCCAGATGCACAGACTGAGGCTCCGTGGAGACTTTCTGGCAACAGGCCCAGGAGAGCAGGGATCTCATCCCTGGTGGGGGTAGATTCCTTCCACTCCACCAGCCAGGACCCTCCTGGTGCTGTACCAGCTGCCAGAAATGTCTAAGCTATGAAGCCATGAATTCAAGGCCCGGGCAGGCAGCAAAGGAGGGGCTTGCGCTGCCTGTGGGTGAGCAGGAGTTTCCGGCCTGGGGCCAGCAGAGGGAAGATGCAAGGGAGTCAGAAACAGTGGGAGAGGCACAGCACAGGCCCTGGCCTGCCCTCCGCCTCCTGGGACAACAGAACTTCCAGAGCCCAGCACAGCCCACAAGCCACAAGCCCTCTTGCTTGTGCAGACCCCCTGGGCCAGGCTGTCTTCCCTGAGCCTCTCCGTTCCTCTCCTCCGGGACCACAGGGAGAGGGCCAGTCCCGACGACACGACCCCGGCTGCCCATGATTCTTTCATAGAGAGAAACTGAGGCTCCGGGGTTCTGCAGGCTTCCTGCTAGTGAGGGGCAGCGCCCGTGTGGGAAATAATGTAGGTGGCTACTGACCACCTCCCATAGTGTCCTCTCCCTCCCCGCTCACCTACCTGCCCATGTTCCCCTCTCCAATTTCCCTTGCCTGTCAGGGGCCTTTGTTTCCCCCCTCCGTAAATGGGCAGGAGGGAGGGGCCCTGTTGGCAGTGCAGGAGCTCCAGAGGACTTCCCTACATGGGAATGGCTGACGGGGGTGGGATGGTGGTCTTTCGGGTATTTTGAAGGTAAGAGACCTGTGGTCAGAACTCAGTGGGGGCCTCGGCCTTAAAGTGCCCCCAGCAACCACTGAGGGAAGCCTGATCACTGGCCCATGTCACAAATGAGGAGACTGAGGCACGGAGTGGCGAACTGTCACACTCAAGGTCACAGCCCCCAGCGGGTGGCTGAGCCAGGACCCAAATCCAGGCCGTTGCTGTCCTGCCATCCCACACTCAGGAGCCAGGAGCCATCGCCTGTCTCGGTCCTCGAGTGGGAGCCTGCTTCTTCCGCACAGATGGAAAGACAGGCTGAGACAAAGGGGCGTGGCCAGCCTCACTGCCTGTCCCATCATGGGACCCACCCTCACACACCTTATAAGAATGACTGGCTTGTCCCCATTCTACAGACGAGGATACTGACGGTGGCAGGGGAGCCGGCGCTGTGCCTCTGCCTCTCTGGGCCCCGGCCTGGAGTCCTCCTTCCCACAGCGAGAGGGAGTCACCAACACCCTTATCTCAGAGCCCCACACCATACCATGGAGAGACCGAGGCACTGGGGGGCCCCACACCATACCCGAGGTCGGTGACACCTCACCATGGAGAGACCGAGGCACGGGGGGCAAAGGCTTCCTCAGGTCACCCTGGGTCAGCCATGGGGAGGGCACAGACCTGCACCCCGCTGAGCTGAGCAGCAGTCACTGCTGAGCATGCCGGGCGTCTGGCCAATTTGTCCCTGTGTTGACCTCCAGATTTGAAATGGGCCTTCCCTGCCCAGGTGGGTCCCAGCCCCCATCGGCCACCACCTCCCTGTCATGGGGGAAAAGGAGGAGTGTCCGGGAGCCCTTGCACCTCACACCCTGGGTCGGGGCACCAAACTAGCCCCCAGCACACATTCCCAAAGCCTCTGCTGCAGATTTGGGCAGAACCCGGCCACAGCCCACCCAGGCACACAGGGGCACCTACACCCAGAAGGAAAAAAGGCGCATGCTGATGTGTCCACAGGCACATACGGTCATGCGTGCAGACACACATGTTCACACGCATGCCCAGTTACACATACACAAACAGGCCTGAGGGGCTGTGGAGGGGAGACTCCGGGGACAGGGGGCTGGCGGACAGAGTGGGACCAGGATCCTGTAGGCGGTTTCTCGCCTCCTCTATCTGTGAGCTCCAGCTGCCCAGAGCCTCCCCCTTAACACGTGCATGTAGGCACAGGAGTGGGTCCTGCTGGGGGGCGCCAGCATGTGCTAAGCATGGAGATCACAGCAAGCATGCTATGGACATGTGTGTGTGGCCTTGGGCATGCAGCTGGGGGCGATGATGCCGGGATGCATCCCTAGCATGTGTGCACGTGCACACTGGGGCAGCCTGGCATGTGTGTGCACACGCGGTATGCAAGGGTGCAGCCCTTGCAGACACGTGCACGTGTAAGAAAACGTGTGTGCAGCCTGCGGCATTGTGGACATCAGCAGGGCAGCCCGTGGGGGTGCCAGGGGAGCACTCTTCCGGCAGAGCATGCAGTCGGGTCCCCAGCCCCCACTCTCAGGACTTCATACCAGGTAGGGGGAGGGGTCCCATGAGGGCTTCCAGGGATGAGGCATTGTGAGCCCCTCGGCCCAACCCGCAGGGGCCCTTAGGCTGCGGATATGGGGGCTTGGCTGCCTCCTCTCATGACTGGCCCCCTGGAGGGGCAGCGCAGGGCTAACCCCGCACCCCACCCCTCTGCTGTTGCCAACACCCCCATTCATGCCGCTGCGGCCTGACCCCAGAGACTGGAGAGGGGGAGAGGTCCTGAGTTGAGTCCAGGGGGGGCAAGGGTGGAGGCGGTTAATGCCCCCAGCCCTGCTAGGTACCACGTTTCTGCACACATGGTCATTAACCCCTTCGTGGCCGGGATGCTCCAAGGCTGGACCGCGCCCTTACAGTTGGCAGCCTCCACCCCGGCCCCGGCCCCGGCCCCGGCCCCGGCTTCAGAGGCCACCCCGAGCCGCCGCCTCTGCCTCCGCCGCCGCCTCCAACTTTCCCGGGAAGCGGCAACTTTTCCTGCTGCCGCGGGCTCCGCCCTCCCGGGGCCGGGCACCCGCGGCCCCAGTCGGCGCACCACTGCGGTGGCCCTCCCCGCCGCCGGTGACCCTGCCGCTGGCCTGGGCAGCGGGGACCAGCGGGCCCTGCAGCTCTGGGACCCCCTACTCCCCGCACCCAGCGCCCCACCCAGCGGCCGGCTCGCGCGCGGCGCAGCACTCACCTCCGCCGGGCGCCTTCTTCATCGTCGGGGTCGGGCGGGGCGCGTCGGGGACCGAAAGTCGCTTCGGGGCCGGCGCCCGTCTCCCCGCGGCCGGGTCCGCATCCAGGCGCCGCCGCTCCGGCCCGGCCCCGGCCCGGCCGCGGGACGAGGCTGGGTGCGCTCCGCTCCGCCGGTCGGATGAACTGGCGGCGCCGCGGAGCGGAGGGCGAGGGCGGCGGCGGCGGCGCGGATCCGGAGCGGATGAATGTTTTATGGGATCATGTGGTCTGACGCGCGAGGAACCCACCCGGTACCCACGCCGGCCCGGCCGGGGCGGGGCGGGGCGGGGGCGGGGCCTCGCGGCGGGCGGGGCGCTCACCTGGGCGCGGGCCGGGGCGGGGCAGGGGCGCGGGCGGCGCGGGGCTGCCGGGCGGGCGGCGCCCAGACGAGGGGCGCAAGCTGGGCCGCAGGAGGCGCTCCGCACGCCCGTTGCACCGGCGCCGCGCGGCCCCAGACAAAGGCGGCGCATTTCTGAAGAGGCGGCGGCCCCTACAGGCGGCCGCGGGGATGGCGGCCTTGGCCGGAGCGGGCTGGGGGCGCGGGCCCGAGGGCGTGGCGGCCCGGGTTGGCCAGGGTGTGCGGGTCCCCAGAGTGGCCAGCCACCGCTTAGGGCTTGGTCTGGAGTCCTGAGGACGTGGGTGGGAGAAGAGGTGCCTCTGCTCGGCCCGCTCCCTTTCCCGCCTTCACTAAATTCTGGAGCCCCGCAGCCCCGCAGCCCTTTGCTGGAGTGGGATTGCTCTACTTTCCAGTTCAAAAACAGGCTCAAAGCTCCAGAGACTTCTGAAGCCCCTCACCCAGGTGTTCCCGGCGGCTTTAGGCTGGGGCCTGGGTTTCCCAGCTGCCACAGGTCGGTGGGTGGGCATCAGGCACTGCGGGCTGTGGGACCGGTGTCCTTTGCCCCTTGGTCAGCACCTTGGCCAGCGCCCTCCTCGTCTTTGCGCCGCCCGCCTTTGCAGCCAGCCCATTGGATGACTCCGGATGTTGGCTGTAGGCGTTGGCTGGGGTAGGTAGGTGTGGAGGCAGAGGGGCAGCCTAGCAGGGCTGGGTGACAGGCCAGTCTGCCTCCAGCAGGGCATGGCTCACTGCTCAGGCTGGAGACGTGGGGAGGGTTTGCGAAGGCACATTTACAGGGTGCGGGCAGGTGCTGGACAGCATGAGGGACAGCGTGCTCCCTGGGTGGGCAGCTAGGGCAGGCATATGACAGCTGCCGAGGAGCCAGTGGGGATGGATTGAGAGAGGCTGCAGCCTTTAGTCAGGGGCACAGCCAGTCCTAGGGATCAAGCCCAGAGAGATCCCGTGGGAAGAGCCTGGTGGAGCCCTGCCCCTGTAATGTAGTCTACACCCCTCAGTTCCCGGGAGGCCTTGCATGGGGGCGGAGAGGACAGACCATTTGGGCCTCATTGATCTGTGTTCCCAGGCTTTCCGGACACATGCCCCTGAGGCCCAGGAGCAGGCATGGGCTGGAGACTGCTCTCTAGGCTGACCTTTATCACTCCTTGCCGGCTCTGGCTTCTGCCTGAATTGCCCCCTCAGACCCATTACACATGAGACACAACCTCCTAGAAGCTTGCCCACCCCTCCAATGAGGTCTGTCACTGCCTCATTCCCACCCTCTGGTCCCCAGGGCCACCCTCCATGGTAGCACGTCAGGCACTGAAGGGCCCTCCCAGCTTTGTGACCTCGGCCCATCCCCTTGGTCTCTCCGAGCTCAGAGCAGCGTGTGGATGAAGCAGACACTAATGCCTCCTGGGAGAGGTCAGCTGGTCAATGTCCCTCATTTGCCCACCTCTCCTGTCCCCTGAGAGGACCATGCAGGGCCCTGCAGGGAGAGTTTGAGATTTTCACTCAAGCTCATAGCATCCAGCTAGGATGAGGGGATCCTTTGGCTGTGGCCAGTCCTGAGCTGGCAGGGACACAGTTTGACTTCCTTGGAAGGTCGCTGCTTCCACCGGCTCCAGGAGCCTTGTTTCCATCCTGGAGAGACAGCCCGCTGGGGTACCTGGGCCAGCCAGTTTCTCAACGCCCTCCAGGGAGGAGGGGGGAGGTGAGACACGGTGTCTGCATACCTTTTGAGCCCTCCCCAGGATAGTGCAAGGAGAGACCCAGACGGAAGCTCAAAGGTCATACCGCAAACCCGTGCCTGCTGCCCAGGTGCTGCTCCAATGTAATCTTTCCCAACACTTGGAGTGGGCAGATGGGAATGTGGTCCCAGTGCCAGGGAGCTGGGGGTGCACCAGCTGCCATCTGCTCTTACCATGGAGGGTGGCTGCCTGCCTGAGGCCCGAGAGAACTCTGTGCCAGGCCTGCTAAGTGCATTGACCTATTCTGTCCTGTCGTGAAGATACCACTACCCATTTTACAGACAAGAAAATTGAGGTCAAGGGAGTTTAGGTAGACCCACATCCTGGCAGCCCCTCCCAGGACTTTATTTGCCCATAGTCACTGCTTCCCCCCACCACTCCAACCTCGGCCCAGCATAGGGAAGGGGCCAACAGCTCGACCCCTGGCAGCATCCCCAATAAGAATTCCACTGGGCCTGCCCATCTCTGTAACCCTCCTACCTCCACACCCAGCAAGGGCCTCCTCCCAAAAGATGGCGTCCTAGAGTCAGCTGTGTTGGGCAGGCCCCCAGCCTGGCCACGGGCACTTCCCACCTCTGAGGGGCTGCTGGGGATTGTTGATGGGGCATGTGCATTGCACAGTGGTGGCCCTCACCACACCCACCTTCTGGGCCTGGAGCCCTCATGTTCGGTCACCAGGATGAGGAGACCTGGGCTGTGTGGACATGCAGTGCTGGCTCCTGGCCCTTAGGGCTGGACCTGCCCCTTCTCCTTGCTTCCAGAGGGAGGGGTAAGTGTCTAGGGCTCCCTGGTGATCTCCAGCAGATGGGCTCAGGTTGTTCTCCTAGAGGGGGCAGCCAGTTAGGTAGCTTCTGTCTGGGCACAAGCCTGGGCCAGGGATGAGTAGGAGGCTTCTGGTCCCTAAGGACCCAAAGTTTGGTGCAGGGGCAGATCTCAGGAAAGCGGGGTCCCCAGGCTGTGCCCAAGGCCTCAGCACTTGATTCATTCCCCTCCCCCATTCCTGCAAGAAATGCAGATCCTTCGAGAGCCACCCACCCGGCAGTGACAGCTAAATTGGGAGCCACTCTTGATCCCAGGAGCCCAGCCGACAGTTAGAACCAGGGACCTGCTAGCACCCAGTCGGGTGGGGAAGGCAGGCCTAGGCATGGCCGCAGCTGCGGCTGGAGTGGACACCTGCGGCTGCAGGGAGGGGGCTCTTGCTGAGCTAATTCAGACCTAGTGCCAAGCCTTGCTCTCTCCAGGGCCCCCCTGAGCCCCTTTCTGAGCTGCCAAGATCCACAGGGCATGCAGATTTGCTCCTTTCCTAGCTGGAGAGGCCAAGGGCTCCTCCCAGATTGCTTGGTGAAGGCAGAGAAGGACGGTGAAGCTCAGAAATCCTCCTCAAAGAGCACCATGGAGGGGCCCCTTGCCTTCCTCCCTTTAATGCTTCCACCTGCTTGTTTAGGCAGTTAGTCACTCAACAACACCCCGGGAGGCTGATTTCAGGTACCCTCATACTTCTCCGCTTGACGTCCACTTCCCTTACCTCCACAGGTTACAGGTGGAGAGAAGGAGCCCCATGGAGGATGGCCTTGTCTTGAGTCACTCAGCTAATGAGCCCAAAGCAAAGGGTGTGTCTTTGCCCCATGGTCACCCAGAAGCCCACAGGGACTGACTCACCAATGGGGCAGACAATTAGAGCCCTCCTGCTGCCCCAGCTTCTTCTGGGTCGGCTCCGCCCAAGCCCTCAGGGTTCTGTCCCCCAGCAAGTGGCTCTACAGCCTGAGAGCCTCCGAACAGAGTCAGGTGCAGGGTAGGGGCTGGCAGAGCCTTCATCCTATTCCGAGCTTCTCCTAGACCCGTGGTCAGCAAACTGCGGCTTGCGAGCCACATGTGGCTCTTTGGCCCCTTGAGTGTGGCTCTTCCACAAAATACCACGTGCGGGTGCGCACGTACAGTGCGATTGAAACTTTGTGGCCCATGCGCAGAAGTCGGTATTTTGTGGAAGAGCCACACTCAAGGGGCCAAAGAGCCGCATGTGGCTTGCGAGCCACAGTTTGCCGACCACTGTCCTAGACTGATCCTTGCTCTGACCCCTGCGCAGGGTCACAGGCAATGAGCAGGGTAGGGGCCAGACCTGGCCTTGAGGTGAGACAGGAGACTCTGGTCCTGGAATCTCCAGGCTGGTCCTGGAGATTGGGGCCCTGGGCTGGGACTTCATGGGTGCAGGACCCGAGTTTTCTCATCCGTCCAATGGGCCTCTTGCTGGCCTCTTGCATGAAGGTTGAAGGGCACATTCACGTGCCTGGTGTAAGGACAGGGCTCTGAGGCCTCTGAGAGTGGGGTATTTTTAGCCAGGATTCCTGCTGACAGTCCAGCCTGGCTGAGGTTTGCTGCCAGCCTCAGAGGCACTTCTCTTAGCCTGGAAGGAGTCTGGGGTCTGCCCACCCCAGCCCAGCCCCCCCTTGGTGCCCTCACTCTACCCGCCCAGCCAGCTGCAGCCCCTCAACGAGGTGGCTGGTTTTTCCCAGGTGTGGCTCTCCTAGGTGGGTCGAGCTTGGGTCCTGGGGGTGAAGGAGAGGGATTACCTGTGCACAGAGCCTTGGGCTGCCTGTGCCAGATTCTAGGCTCTCAGCTGCCACTCCTGACTGGCTGGCCTGAGGGTCGGGTTTCTGGGAGGTTTCGATCGATGCCCAGGCTCCAGGCTCTGGCTTGAGCGTGCACAAGTTCAGCTTGAAGGATGACTGGCTGCTGCCTCCCACCTGCCTGCAACCTCCTCTAGAATGAGTGGTCAGCAGAGTGGCCATAGCTGCCCATCCTGGACCCAGCTCCTCTCCCAGGCACCTGTGCTGCCTGTGTGCTCTGGCCACTGGGCCTCTCCAGCCCATTCTGCAACACCAGGTAGACTCCACCCAGGTGTGTGTGAGCAGAAAGGCCCACACTTGGGCCTGCAGAACCTCACAGCTAGGCCAGGATCACCTCCCTTCCCATATGCAAATGATGATACCTAGAGAGAGGGTCCTCCACCTTGGTCGCTCCCTTGGGACACACCACTCCTCCAAGGAAAGCCTGGGGCAGATCCAGAGCCCAGCACCCTGGACAGCACTGCCCGTGTGTATTCCGTCAGCAGGGCGCGGCGGGACGGAGAGTGAAGCCCATGGGCAGCCACCAACGAGGTGAACCCTGCGCTGGGTCCCAGGTGCATG